AAAAAAAAAAAAAAAAAAATGCCTGGCTTTGGGTATTATTTGACTTGAAGGATTTTAGAAAAAAAATATTTAAGTGTAGAAATTTCACCCCCTGAATTTAAAGTTCCCAGGTTATAAAAGTCCTGTAGGAGGTTACAAACCACCCTTCCTCAGCCTGTTATATTAAAAACTGGAGGTACATACAATGGTCTATGGTAACAAATGGATGCTACTTTAATATACTCATTAAAACATTATTATTATTTCTGTGTTATTATTTTAAATATGTTTTAGTGTATTTGGAAATGTTTCTTTAATGTTTTTATGCATAGAAAGGTAAAGTATATACTATATACTAAGACAAACATTTGACTAACTGACATTATATGCAAATGTACCTAACTGTTCCAATTCACATACAAATTCAACTTAAAGATAGACTTAAGAATGGAACTTGTTCATAATCTGGGGACTGCCTGAACATTATCCTTTCCCCAATTGTTAAAAGACTTTAAAATAATAAGAATTGTAACAATAGCTAATACAAATATATTATACTTAAAATGCTCTTAATTGTACTAGTTTTTTAACTATATTATCTCCTTTTATCCACATCAAAACCTTATAAAGGTAGGTATCATCCTCATTTTTCAACTGAAAAAATCTAAAACAGAAAAGATAACATGATTTGTTCAAGGTAACACAGTTATGATTTCAATAGACATCTGCCTCACGTCACAGCCCTCACTCTTTCCCTTATACCATGTTGTGTCCCCAGCTCTCTCCCCAACACTGAGTGATCAGTGCTGCAGAGCTTGGGGAGAGAGTGCAGCCAAAAGGAACTTGGACATAGGTAGAGTCTAATTTGGACCTGAGTCTACAGAGATGGAGATTGTGCTTCCCCTGGGATGAAAGTCATAAGAGGGGAACATTTCACTCCAAATGTGACTTTGGCACAGATTTAAGTTCAGGGAAAGGCCAATGGATGTTTGCACAGTAGGGTCAGTCATAGGATAATGGAACTGGAAGGGACCTTGGAGATCATCTGGTCTAGCCTTCTCATTTTACAGGAAACTACAACCCAGAGATTGTGTTGTTTGACCAAGGTCATACAGTTAGTTTTGGGAGAACCAATAGAGGAATGTAGCCTGCTCATCTAGGACTCTCTACTTTCTCACTTGCACCACACCCTGACCACTCTGGGTACTGGAGAGTCCTCTTCTGCATCTAATATTCTGATTTTCTCTATTGCATAGGTATTCTAGTGTCTGTAGACAAGATGGAATCAACTCCATTCAATAGACGGCAATGGACATCAACGTCATTGAGGGTAACAGCCAAAGAACTTTCTCTTGTTAACAAGAACAAGTCATCGGCTATTGTAGAAATATTCTCCAAGTAAGTGCTAATCCTGGTCCAAAAGGACCAACTATCTTAAACAAATATTACCACCTGTCGGGGAAATTGGCAAAGGAAGTACTTGATATAAAATGTCTTTATTGAGCACCTTCTGCATTCTAAGCACCATACAAGGTACTGTGGAGAAGGAGGATGATAATCAGAAGACATAGTCTCATTTATTTATTTATTTATTTATCTAGCCATCAATCTCACCCCGCCCTCCTTTTTTAATTGGGATTTGGGTGAAAGTTTACAGAGAAAATTGATTTTCCATTCAGCAATCTGGACACATTGTTTTGTGACATTTACTGCAATCCCCACAGCGTAACAGCATTTTTCCCATTTCCTCCCTACACCCACTCCTTCCCTTCCTTTTCCCTTCCTTTCCTTTCCCCTTCCCATCCCCTTCCTTCTTCCTCTGTCCCTGGGCAAATGCTGCCCGCTTGATCTCATATGCTTGATTGTTGTGATGGGTGTATACCATCCTGATGTTACCATTTACCTTATAGGTCTGTCTGTCATTTGGCTACCAGTTGAATCACTGGGATTAAGTTCAGTTCCTAGCTTGAAGGATATCTAAGGGCCATAGTCTCAAGGATTTCACCAGTCCTCATCAGATCAGTTAGCCTGGTCTTTTTTCTAATTTTGAGTTTTGTTCCACATTTTCCCCACTTTATCCAGGACCTCTTATTGTGATCCCTTTCAGAGCAGTCAGCAGTGGTAGCTGGGCACCACCTAGTTCTTCTGGCCTCAGCATAATGGAGGTTGGGAGTCATGTGCTCCATTAGCCCTTTAGACTAATTGTTTCCTGAATCTTCAATTTTCTTCACTTTTGTTTGCTCCAGAAGGGGAAAGACCAATAGTTACCTTTAATGGCTGCTCACAAGTTCTTGAGACCCCAATCACTACTCACTAAAGTCGAATGTAGAATGTTGTCTCTGTGGACTATGTTATGCCAATTGACCTTAGTAAGACATATTCTCTTATCTTTGAATTTTTGTTCAGTTGGGGGAAGAAAACGTTACAAACACAAAAATAAAATTTTAAAAAACATAAAGCAAAATGTCAGCAAGTCCAAAATGAATGTGAATGAGGACTGGATACAGAATAAGAGAAGGAGTGAGCATAATGGGCAGGAGCTAATCAGGAAGATTTTCTGGTTGAGAGGTATGTTGAGGCAAGTTCTGATTGGGTTGAAGGGTGTGTTAGTTGCACTCTATACCTGTGTTGTCTAATATGATAGCTCCTACAAGACTTATGGTGATGTAGTGCCTAAAGCATTTGACTGCTAACCAGAAGCCTGGCAGTTCAAACCCACCAGCCACTCTTTTTTTTTTTAATTTTATTTTGATTTGGGTGAAGATTTACAGAGTAAATTCACTTTTCATACAGCAGTTCACATATTCTTTGTCTCATGTCATTGACCAAAATTTACAAT